AGAAAGCCTCTTTCCCCTCTTGCCAAAACACAGCTAGTGAGAGGCAGAGGCAGGATTCAATCCCGTGAACACTGCTCTTTCTACTGAACCACAGCACCTCCAGGGCTCACAGCCCCTGTGACTGGGTGACGGGCAGCCCGGATGGAGGAGATGAGGGAGGAGGAGGAGCAGGTTTGGGAGGGGAATTAAGGATTTGATGCTCAGGTGGGGTGTTGAGGTGACCATTAGACATCCAGGTGGACCTGTTGAGTAGCAGCTGGACGTGTGAGTCTGGAGTTCAGGGCTGGGTGGGCTGGACATAGAAGTTTCCAAGCTGCACTTGGGAACACCACAAAGAGCACAGTGATCCCTGAGGCCATGGTTTCCCATTGTCTCCCCTCAGCTCTGCCACCACCTCCCTCTGCAGAGCTGGAGCCAGGTAGAGCCCAGACCACGGAGCCATTCCCACTTTTACCCCCACAACTCTGCCCCCACGAGCCCAGGCACCAAGCCCCCTCCCCTATCCTTTCCCTTCAGGACCAAATGGCCCCACCATGGAGGCTCACACAGGCCCTGGAGTGGGTGGGACAGAAGTCTGGGGGTTAGTCAGAAAGACATGGGGTCACATAATCGGGAACAAGATGGCCCTGAATGAAGTCATGGAGGAAAGATGGACAAAGAAGTGAATTCCAGAGAAGCTTCCAGCTAAATGACCCACTGTTGGATGTTGGCATGGATGAGGGCAAAGGAAAGCTGGCCCCTGGTCTCAGATTGGGCGGCCTGGGGTGAGCGCTGCAGAAGGTTAGCTGAGGTCAGACACAAACAGGAAGATAAACTGAAAAATTCTCAAATCAGGAAGCTGTGGTGCCCTGGGCAGGGACAATGAGGAGCAGAGAGGAGGTGGTAAGGCAGGGAGGGAGGGAGGAAAGGGACCAGGAAGGGTTGGGGCAGAGTGCAGCCACTGCCAGCTGAGTGTCCCTGGGCAAGTCCCTCTACCTCTCTGATCCTCAGTTTCCCCAGCTGAGCACGTGGGTGCTGCTTCCTTCTCCTGGGCTTGGGAGGGTGGCAGTTATGTGGGAAATGTGCCCGCAGAGCCTGCTGGGGGACTGTGAGCCTGTGTCCAGGGCAGGAAGCTGGGCAACAACAGGAGGGCCTTCTCCAATGCTCAGGTGCCCTCAGGGTGCTGCCACCTGCTGTCTGTCAGCTCAGCACCTTCAAGGGTCCGTGTGCCGGGGCTGGGAGGGCAGAGTGTGAGGTGGTGGGTGTTGGGGCCATGCACAGCCAGGAAAACACAGGATGGAGACATGAGGGTCAGAGTGTGAGAACAGAGAAGCTCAGACTCATCTGGACAATGTTGTGGGGATGGGACTGGGCCCCAGCCTCAGGGAAGGGGGTTACATACAGGTTCTTGTGTTACCACCCTCCAGACACATACACAATACACCTGCATATGCATGTCTGCATCCTAGTGTGTGTGTATGTACATGCAACACACAACATATCCATGCTCAATACACACAGACACACATACATTACATACACATTCTGTGCACATCTTCACTCTCCCAATGCACAAGGACATTTTTCCAGGCTTCCAGTTACTCACAGGGCATCCTCTAGAACAGGGGTGGGCAAACTTTTTGACTCAAGGGCCACAATGGGTTCTTAAACTGGACCGGAGGGCCGGAACAAAAGCATGGATGGAGTGTTTGTGTGAACTAATATAAATTCAAAGTAAACATCATTCCATAAAAGGGTACGGTCTTTTTTTTTTAGTTTTATTCATTTCAAACGGCCGGATCTGGCCCGCGGGGCCGTAGTATGCCCACGGCTGCTCTAGAAGCTACAGCAGGCTGCGTACCTCACAGGGGAAATGAGTTCCCCAAAAACACACACTCTTCCCATGGGGTTGGCATCAGTAAGCAATTCCCTAGGTGGAGTGGCAGCTCCAGCCCGGGCCTCTGCAGCTCCCTGAAATCTGTCTCACTTTCCTGGCTGTTTCCTTGCAGTTTCGTGAAGAGCCCAAGCCTGGAGACCTGATTGAGATTTCCCGCATCGGCTCCTCGCACTGGGTCCTCTATATGGGCGAGGGTGATGTGATCCACCTGGCTCCCCCAGGTAAGTGGTATTTAAAGTATAACTTTCCAGGTATTTGTTAACATGATGAGAACAATTCAATACCAAATGCCACCCTGGGAACCTATCTTGGTTTCTCCCTGGGCCGGGCTTGTGCACATGGTATATCCGTGTCCT